AGGCACGGCAGTGCACTCTTGTAATCCCAACACTGGGGAAGCTGAGACAGGAGAATTCCTGCAAGTTCAAGATTAGCCTGGGTTACACAGTGAGTTCAAGGCCAGTCTGTGACTACACATAATGAGAGCGTCTAAAAAAAAAAAAAAAATGGCAGAAAGGCTCAAGTGCCAAACAGTTCTCATTTAAGGAAGTGAGGTAAATACAAACTAATGTTTCAAGACTATTTGAGAGATATCTCAGCATGGATAAAGGATGGAAGAAAGTGGAGATACACCTATCAGCTCCCCATCACGGTAGCAAATACCTGAGATAATCAGAGAGAAAAGGTTTATTTTGGCTCCTAGTTTTGGAGGCTTCAGTCCATGGCCCGTCATCAGCCCACTGCATCCGGGCTTGTCAAGGCACCCTGACAGGGGTGAATGGCGGAGCCAAAACTGTTTAACTCAGCCATGCGACAGAAGAGAGGGTGCCAAGGCCAGGGCCCTACAGTTCCCTGTGAGGGCACACCCCCAACTGCAGCCACCAAGACCCAAAGACCTCCCGGGAGGTCTTGAAGTTTCCACCGTTTTCCAATAGTGCCAAGCCAGGGGCCAAACCTTTAATACCTGGGCCCTTGACGCTGACAAATCAAATCCCAGCAGGAGCCGAGACCACCTGGGAGGCTATGGTGATGATCCGGATTCGAGGTAACAGCGGACAGGGCAGCTGCGAGGACAAACAGAAGTGGAAGACTCAAGAATAATTTCCTTCCCTGAAGAAAGGTATACTGGTCAGTTTCCTGCTGCTGGGACAAAGTATCTGACACACACAAGTTAAGAGAGAAAAAGATTACTTGGTCTCATAGATTTAGTGGTTTCCGCCCGTGCTCAGCTGGCTGTAAGGCAGAAATACTGTAGAGGAAGGGTATGGTAGGCAAAAGCTTCTCAGCCGTGGCACCCAGGAAGCAGAGAGCAGGGCAAGAGCCCAAGAGGAAGTGGGGCAGACATAGTCCCCAGGGCCACATCCCCCTGACCCACCCAGACTCACCCAGACCCGTGCAGTGCTGATCTAGGCCTCTCTCAAGTATTTGAGTTGTCAATCAAGATTTACCATCGGAGAAGGACCAAGAGGAGTTAGTGCTCAAAAGAGAATAAAGCAGGATAAGGGGCTATGGATACAGTTCAGTAGTAAAGCAGGTGCAAGGCCCTGGGCAGGGTTAGGGGCAACAGGAGGAAGAGGAGTAACTCCTAACAACGAAGATGAGTCTGCGTTTGAGATGCTTGGATGACTACAGTCAAAGGACTTGAAACTCTGTGATCTCAAGGTGTTGCAAGGGGACGAGGAGACTCTCTTTTACTGTTAAGATGAGAAAATTACACTTGTTCCACCTCAGGACTACCTCTCAGCAGGCCCAAAAGCAGAACACCCAGGGTAGCGCTTGTGATCCCAGTACTCAGGAGGCTGAGGCAGGAGGACCACTGTGGGTTCAAAGCCAGCCTATACTACATAGTGAGTTTAAGATCACCTGCACTGCACAGACACTGTCTTTAAAAACATTTTTTTTTTATGACAGCAGAAACCATGGCGTTTCTGACTTTACACATGAACTGTCTGGGTAAATGACTTTTCTATTCAGTCCTGTGGCACCTGTATGGCCATACACATTCTGCTGGGTTGCTCTCATCATTACAAAGTCACTCTGAAAATGACTGATGATTAACATTCCCTTTTTCCTCACGCTGACAAAAAGCCTTACTTTCCTGGATTAATTTCGACCAGTGCGTTTCTGTGAAGAAAATGCGTGCTTTACTTTTCTGACCTCGGAATACTTACTGAATAACTATCTTTTCACTTTAATGTTTTTATTTTAAAAGTAGATAGTAACAGGATTAGATTTGTCCCAAGATAACTTAGAAACAATGTAACAGTTTTTTAAAATTATGATCTGCCCGGAATTTGACCCAGAACAGGACAGGACAGTCCTCCTTAAGGAGTCAGGCCACCAGCTCTACTGCCCTCCCTCCGCTGGATTACTCCAATTTTTTGTGTGTGTTTTCATGGTACTGAGGATTGAACCCAAGGCCTCCCACATTAGGCAAGCATTCTACACTGAGCTACACCCTTAGCCCTTTTAAAACTTTGAGACAAATTGCCCAGACCAGCCTTAAATTTGTATCCCTCTTGCCTCAGCCTCCCCAACAGCTAGGATTACAGGTGTGCACCACTACACTTGGCCTAGAGATGGAGTTTTTAAAAATGAAATTATAATTTAAAATATCACCGCTTGATGAGTGAATGCAGACCAAACATGCAAAATGTTGACCCATCTCTTCCAACTTCGCCGAGCCTGGAGAGACAATGAAGACAGTCGCATCTTTTGGATATACTGAGGTGACACAAGTGGACTTTTATCGTAGTCACAGCAAGACAGAAGAGAGCTCACCTACGATAAACTGGGAGCTGGAAGCAGCACCCACGGTGTAGGATATTTCACCCATCTTCCACCCGGCCACCACGCCGTAAGAACACGCAGCTGGGGAGCAGAGGGGGACTGGCAGCACGGGGCTGCACAGCGATCTGGAGATTGAGCCCTGGGACTCACAGCGATCCAGGGACCGGTACAGGCCGAGAGCCAAACGGGGCATCTCAGACAGGCAGAGCGACAGGGTCACAGATAGGCGGAGAGCCCAAGCACACAGCAGCTCTGCGAAGAGCAGTACCTGGGGCAAAGACCACAGCACTGAGTCCGAAGACTGAGCCGAAGAGCAGCCAGAGCTGTGTCTTTTACCCCACGAGGAGTATGATACAAACAACATGTGCAAATCTTGCAGTGATACCGATATGTTCTTCTGTATGGTATGGTAAAAGGGTACTTCCAGGAAACATTTCTTGTACGTTCCCCTAAAGGGGCTCCCAAGGTAAGTTTGGCACATGGGCTCTACAGTCACCGCACCATACGGGTCACACAGGTTACCGCACAGGTGAACAGGGTATGTGGTTAGCACACTGTCACAAGCTAGTTTACTCAGAAAGGAAGTGTGAAGCCAGACAAAGCATGAGCTGGCTTCTGTCCCGCTCACATCAGAGGGGAACACTCACAGCGAGTGAGAAAAAGTTGTGCAACTGTTCTGGGTACTTCTGCACTACTGAAAATGACTCCCAGATACAGGAGGTAGGAGGAAGGGAGGTCAGCTGGGCTAAGATATCAAAAGTGGAGAAGTAGGAGTGGGGTACAATGGCACATACTTGGAACCCCAGCCACTCATGGCGCTGAGGCAGGAGGATCACAAGTTCAAGTCCGGCGTGAACAATTTATTGAGAACCTGTCTCAAAACGGGGGGGGGGGACTGGGGTGTGGTTCAGTGGTAGTTTTCTTAGCATGCACAAGGTCCTGAGTTCAAGTCCCAGTTCAGTACAAAAAAATTTTAAAAAGTGAAAAGTTACACTATAAGAGAGCAAGCAACACTCTCTCCTTCCCCACCTTGGACTTTTCTCCCTCCTATGCTTATTAAACTTCACGGACCTAGAGGTTAAAAATATAAAATATATCAAGAACTCACAAAGCCAGCTCATTGGAAAGGAATGGTAACTCTAAACAGAAAAAATTTCCATCAAGAAATTGGTTTTAGCCAGCCATGATGACACATGCCTATAATCCCAACACTTGGGAGGCTAAGGCAGGAAGATCACCATGTCTGGGCTACACAGTGAGACCCAATCTCAAAAAAAAAAAAAGTCTTTAAAATAAGTTAAAATTACTCTGAAGTCATTACAAGCACAGGTGAATTCATTATTGAAACCTGGTATTTCAGTGGCACATATAATGAATCACAGTTTTTGGTTTTTACTTTTCATGTTAAAAATAGGACTCAAAACAAGTTGTAAAAGTAGTACCGTTCTCATGTGTCATTTACCTAACTTTCTCCAATAATAACATCTTACAGAAGCACAAATTATCAAAACAAGCAAATAGACATACCCACAATCTGCTTTTAAAGAAACTTTAAAAGTTTGTTTAAACACTTTAAATGGCTCCTGAATATTGGAGAGGGAAGAGTCCCTGGAAGCAGCCGGGCCGGGTCAGAAAGGAGAAAGAAGAACCACTCAGAGAGGTTAAATGCTATAGCCAGGTCACTCTCTGGACTCAACACTCCAATCAGAGGCCGTGTAAAACTGAAAAACCGGCAGCCTCCGAGCGCTGGGATGACAGGCATGCGCCCCCACGCCTGGCCGGGGGTAGAGATTTTACTACGCAGGCAGGAGGACTGACTTGGGTTGGAGGCCAGCCTAGGCTATATAGTGAGTTCACGGCCAACCTGAATACTCTGTCTCAAAAACCAAAAAGTAAATAAAATGTATCCAAACTCCCTTTGTTCTGTAGATCCAAATTCCTACGTACTGTTCACTATGTAACCAATTAAGCCTTTAAGCAACAACCCTCACCAATGTAACAGATCAGGTCTCAGAGATCAACAGTGAGATAGAAAGTAAGGCAAGCCAGGCGCGGCGGCACACGCCTGTAACCCCAGCACTCGGGAGGCTGAAGCAGGATTGTTACAAACTGCAGACCAGCCTGGGCTACAAAGTGAGCTCAAGGCCAGCCTGAACTGCACAGCGAGACCCTGTGTCAAAAAGAAAACAAAAAAACGAACAACAAAAAGCGGTAGGACCAACCGAGGTGCACACCTTTCTTTCCGTTTTTTTCAGTACTCTACTTTGGGTCAGTACAATTGTTTTTAATTTAGAATTTGAGAAACTTCTGGGAATTGCTACCTCTTGGAAGAAAAAACCCTGAGACTGATTTCTCCCGTTCTGCTCAACTGTAGCAAACACGAATGAACATTCCCGGGCATCACCAAGTCACCTCTGTAAAATCCTCGCCCTCAGATTATTTTTGGAACTAAGGATTTTCCAGATTACTGAAAGTCACCGCGCGGTGCTGGCAAGGGCCGGGATTTCGCAACGCAGCGAGGCGGGCGGCCGCCGCCCCGCCAGCCCGGCCCCGGCTCTCCGCCAGCACCCGAGCCCGGCTTCCTCCGAGGGCGAGCTTTTCACCGGACCGACCCAGGCGCGTCCCTGTTTCCGCGCGACGCTCCGGGGCGGCGCCGTCCGGGCCGCTCGCCCGCCGCCCGCAGTCCGTCCCCAGGCCGTCCCCGCACGGAAGCTGACAGCGCCGGGCCCGCGGGCGAAGGTAGGAGCCGGCCCGACGGGACGCAGGCCTCGAAGGGACGCCACCCTGACAACTCTCAGGGGAAGGTATTTTCGTGACACTCCCTCATTCCGGCACCGAAACGCGTCCGAGCCGGGCGGCCTCGCCCCGAGCCCACACTGGGCGCGCCGGCCGGGAGGGACTAGCTGGCGCGCCGGCCGGCGCGGTGACGTCAGGGCGGACGCGCACGCGGCGTGCAGCGGCCGCCCCGGCGGTCA